ACTAGTGGCATAGGTTTGTGTGACCTTGCTCCTAGAATTGTTTAGGAGAGCTCTAGCTAGCCCGGCACCTTAGTTGCTTTATTAGTATCTTTGCAAGGTGCTAGTGAACATATATAGAGGGGTGTAGTCTTGGCTAGACCGATTGTTTTAATTCCGCATTTATATCGGTTAGCCGACGCGATTAAGTTTTAGAAAAGACTATTCACCCCCCCTCTAGTCCGCCATCTCGACCCTTCACCAGTGCGCCACCTCCTTCGGCGGCAGAACCCCCTTCTCGGCGAAGGTGGCCAGCACCGACTCCCTCACGACAGATGACCTCTAGCTCGACATTGCGCTCCAAATTCGCCAATGGATCTGTGAGTTTTCTCCTCTCCCTCTCTCTCCCCTTTTCTCTCCTAAGAACCATCGCGGCACTCAAACGCTTTTGGCGAGAAGGAAGAAGGAGAAGAGGCGGCAGATGAGGAATAGGCAAAGGAATGGAACGAAAGCCCTCTCCCTTCCCCTACTTAAAGAAGGAGGCATAGCAGTTGGGGACACAAGAGGGATTGGGGCGAAAAAACCTCTCCCTTCCCCCATTCAATGCGGATGGGAAACGACAGGACGCGCCCTGACCGATGGGACGCACCCTGCCCGATGGAACGTCGCTTGGTCAGACAGGACATGGCCTAGGTATGGCCCACCACTACCGCACGTCGGGCGCGAGAAACAAAGCGCAACTGTGCACAGGTGGCTCTCCGCCTTCCCAGGTGGGACTTGGAAAGGCCCAAACAACGGGATCTTCGCCTAGGAGAGACCAACGGGCTTCCTGAGTCGATCGGACGGCTCAGGCGAACGTCGAGAGACAGGTAAGAAGCAGAGGGACGCCCCATGTGGGCCATGCCAACTCCGTCACGAATGACGAGCGTGGATCCCGGTCGGACATATCCGATAGGAGCTCCTCAAACCCCGTCACTCGAGTCATCAAGGTAACATTACCAACCCCCACTATTTCTTTATATTTTCATTCATTCATCTGCTGTCATTCATACATTCATGCACGCATTCATCCCATACATCTGAAGCATCGCATATGTAGTTACATGCATCACAACGCTCCATGTTGCGCCACGAAGTGGTAGTTGCCTCATTCAACATGAGCAACGACCGATCGGGGTTCGAAGGCCGGCCCACAAAGGGCTCGAGGCCGCCTCACGTCAAATAGAGCCAAGGGAGAAAACGTAGATGAGCCCCGAGCGGCCCTCGCCCAGTCTGCCCCAAAGCAGATAGGGTCATCTCAACCTTCTCGTTCGATCCTAACCTAGAGCCATGCCTATAGAATCTCCATTGAGGGGAGGCCAGCGAGCCACCCAGGTCGGTCTCCGGAATGACCTAGGCATCTGCCAGGTTGCGAGTTAAGGAGCAGTGGATTGCCACATGAGGGCTATGCCGACCCCATCACGAACGACGGACCCGAATTTCACTCAAACGTGCCTATTAGCGAGCTCATCGAGCGCGTCACTCGAGCCATCGAGGCAAGCGACGTTAGCTCAGCCCCTCCGGTTGCAAGAAACCGTGGACGGGGTAACGCACAAAACTCAACCGACCCCTACCAAGCCCAACGGGGCTCAGAGGCTCTAGACGCCCAATGCCTCGGCTACCCCTGGGTCCATGACTCCGACTCGCCTAATCCCACGGTGCGCCCGACGCTTGGATCCATGACTCTGACTCGCCTGATCCCATGACACGCCCGATGCCTGGATCCGCGACTCCGACTCGCCCGATCCCTCGGCGCGCCCGACGCCTGGATCCACGACTCCGGCTCGCCCAATCCCTCGTTGCGCACAGTGCCTGCCTCCAAATGCCTCGGCACGTCCAATGCCTGGATCCGCGACTCTGGCTCGCTCGATCCCTCGTTGCGCGCAATGCCTGGATCCGTGACTCTAACTCATCCGATCCCTCAGCACGTTCATCGCCGGGATCCGCGACTCCGACTTGCCCGATCCCTCGATGCGCCTAGCGCCTGGATCCACGACTCCGACTCACCCGATCCCTCGGCTGCGCCCAACACCTAGGTCCACAAGCTCGTCTCGCCCAATCCCTTGGCTGTGTCCGACGCCTGGGTCGCCCAATCCCTGGATCCGCGACTTTGACTCACCTGATCCCTCGGCGCACCCAACGCCCTAGTTGACAACTTCGTCTCACCCAATCCCTCGATCGCGACCAAAACGCCTAGGATCACGCTCCTGGAAATGATGTGTCAGAAACTAAAGAGGAGGCTACGCCCACCAAGGTGCACACACTCACGCCCGCTGACAAAACCCCCAGGCGATTCTGCCCGAATCGCCTAGGGGCTCGGGGGCTACACCCACGGGTGCACTCGCGCGCACCTGCTGACAAAACAAAAAATCCCCCCTCTAGCAAACACGAAACCCCCCAAAGGATTCTACCCGAATCACCCGGGGGCTTGGGGGCTACACCACGGGTGCGCTCGTGCACACCCGCCGTCAAGACAAAAATCCCCCAGATAATTCTACCTGAATCGTCCGGGGGCTCGGGGGCTCCCGTCGGGTTTATAAACCCGGGGTCTCTCATGGACCGGCTTCCTATCAAAGGTTCGGCCTAGCAGACGACGTTGCGAACGACACGCAACTCCTGGGTCGGCCCAAAAATCTAACAACAGCCCAGAAGCGCGAACCAGCCTCCGACCGGAAGGCCTGGCCAAGGAGGAACGGCGTCCGCTTTCGACTCTGGCCCGCCTCTCCGACCAGAAGGCCTCGCTTCCGACTCCGGCCCGCCTCTCCGACCGAAAGGGCTGGCCAAAAGGAACGACGCTCGCTTCGTCTCCGACCAACGTCCGGCGCACCGAACCTCTGCTTCAACCGACCGGGACCAACCGACCGGGGACGCCCACTCGGTAAGGACCCAGGGAACGGGTAGAGCTAGTAAAGCAGGACGCACAAAGTCAACCGCAATACCAAGGGCCGTACCATGTACACCTGCAAGACAGTACCGACAGGACATGTCAGAAGGGTGCCCTACAACCTTCCAGGCATGTCAAAACCCAAGCAGTGTTGTGGGCGTCGACATTTGCCCTACAGTGTTGTGACGCCCTCAAACTCCCATACCAGACGAACACGGTAAAACTCCTCTACGTGTCTCTGGGCATCAACAGTATGGCAGGCACCAACATCTGCCATACCGGAAGAAGACGACGCAACCTCCCACATGCGTCTGACATCAACAGTATTATGGGCGCCTACAATCATCTTGTACCCGACGGCGTGGGCAACAAGACTTAGTAGCATACGTACTCTCTCTCTCTCGTAAGGCTGTCCTCTTCATCTATAAAAGGGGACGCGTTCTCTCTTAATAGGGGAGATCGATCAACTCCAAGACGATCAGTTCACTCACATCGATTCATCATCTGCTAGCTTTAGACACTCTAAAGCTACACAGAGCGCACGCTCGGACACTTAGCACATAGCGGAGCTTCTGTCACTCTCAGCCCTTCAGACCAGAGTCTGACTGGACCTCTTGCATCCCCATCTTACTCCCTTCCGTTTGTAACCCCACAGCAAACTTCGAGCACATGTGCTCAGGAATAAAGTCACCGACCGACTCAAACCGGATGTTTGGCACGTTGCCTGAACTAGTATAAACCCTGTGTGATTGAGTGCTACGCCATATTTGATCATAATGTACGACAAAACTACAAATATTTACGTATCGATCACTTCCAGCACCGACGCGTAGAAAAAAAAACTAGTTTATCTATATATAAATTAATGTCACCGCCTTGCTCCTCCAGTTCTCCGCAACCCGAGGATGTAGGTTGGCGCTGACGAGAGGGACGTCACGGGGGCAAAAGAGAGACGGGCATGATTGCCTGGTCCAAAGGGTTTCACCTATCGGTGCTTCTTAAAACAGATCACGTACAGGGCACCATCGGTGGAGTCGTGAGATGAAAGATTACTAGTACTAGTGACCCTCTTCTATGTGTATATGCATAGAAAAAGTTACTAGAAGTACTCGATAAGTATATGAAACAAAAGAGGACGGGAAATTAGCCGATGTGGCCGCATGGCACCACAGTACTACTGTATATATTATTTCTTTGATGGGGAACGCAGGAACGTGCGGTAGATTAATTACACACTAATTGTACTTCCATGGACAGAGGGGGGAGGGATTACTTTTTTCTCATTGATGACAAAATGCAAGGCAGAGGACACTATTTTAACCAGTCTGTCAGTCCCAAAGCCCAACGCTGTCAAAGTAAACAGTCGCAATGTGAAAGGGAATACGGCCTTGTTTAGATCACCTCTAAATTCTAAGTTTTTTCACTTTTTCTTTATCACATCAATTTTTGGACGTATGCATGGAGCATTAAATGTAGGTAAAAAAATAACTAATTGTATGGTTTAGTTGTAAATCACGAGACGAATTTTTTAAGCTAGTTAGTCCATGATCGGACAAAGTTTGTCAAATACAAACGAAACGTGCTACAGTGTCCTGATTGCAAAAATTTGCAATCTAAACTCGGCCTAGTTCGGTGCGCTTCGCTGAGAAGACATGGTTGCTGTTCGCTGATTCGGTTTGAGAGAAAAAAACCGTTCGCTCAAAAGCTGTGCTGGGTTGTGGTGGTCAGAGTGGAGACTTGCGGAGCGCGGGGCCAGACGACGAAACGCCGGAACACGCGCGCACTGTGCTCAGCTGCTACCTGACTCTCTGACGGCCGACGCGTGCCGTGCTCTGCTAGTGCTTGCTTGGTCGTGGCCGCCGGTGTGTACTGTACGAGTCCACATCCACACCGCACGCCGCCTTGGCTGTTCCGCGGTTGCGTTGCATATATAATAGCCCGCGCCAGCTTGGCTTCCCAACCCAACTCCAATCCCAGCTTCTTCGACTCGAAAGTCCAGTGCAGTTGCAGATTTGCAGTCTAGTCAACTCGCTCCTCCGGCTCCACGAAGGGAGGGGAGAGACCCACAGAGGGAGGGTGTGTGTAGCAGAGCGGAGCAACCATGGACGACGCAGAGAGATCCCTGCAGGCGCCCGAGAGCTCCGTCGACTGGCGCGGCCGCCCGTGCCGGCAGCGCCACGGCGGCATGCGCGCCGCCGTCTTCATCCTAGGTCCGTGTGTGCGTGCGTTTCTGCTGGCTCTTGCTTGCTCCTCTCGCCGACGACCGACCGACCGTACCAATGCGATATACTCTTGCATCTCTCCATGCATATGCAGTGTTCCAGGCGTCGCAGACGATGGCGCTGGCGGCGGTGGGGAGCAACCTGATCACCTTCGTCTTCGGGGAGCTGCACTTCCCGCTGTCGCAGGCCGCCAACGTGGTGACCAACTTCGTCGGCACCGTCTTCATCCTCTCCCCGCTCGGCGGCTTCCTCTCCGACTCCTACGCCGGCTGCTTCCGGACGCTGCTACCGTTCGCCGCCGTCGAGCTCGCGGTGCAGTACTACTACATCCTCTTTACCTCCTCTCAACACTAGTGGTCCTTCTCCTTCCTTCCTTCTCGTCTTCCTCCTCCTCCTTCGTCGTTGATGGATTGGACAGTAGTAGTCGTACTCCTATCCTATTCCTATTGTTGCATCACTCTCACGCGGACTGGACGACATGGACCAGGTAGCCAGCCAGCTGCTCTCTTTTGCTCCTTTGTTTTGACCCGCCTTTTCATGTTCGTGGCAAGGGATATGAACTGCAACATGAGAACATGGTAGGGTCATGGGCATGGATGATGGATGCATGGGGCGGAAAAGACGCCCATCACCATGACCGAGCATGACCAACAAAGCTCCCAATTTTTTTTAAACACACAGACACAAAAAAAAAAAACTCCCCAAAAGTCGCTGGTTGCAGCAGCGAGCTCGCAGCCGCTCACATGCTTGCTTGCACACTGCTGGACAGGATACCAGTATACCACCAGATGACCAGACTATAGTTTCACTACAGTAGTTTGCACGAAAACAAGTGCGGCGACCGGGAGGGCGAGTTGAGCATTTTTGGGAGTTTGGATCCATCAGCGTTCAGCACCACCAGGTAGTCTCCTCTTCTTTTATCACATCAAGAAAAAAAAAAGAAGCACCAATCCTTCTCCTTCAAATGAGTGCTCAGTTCAGTCTTCAGTGCAAAGAGATCTGCAGTTCTTTTCCTTAAGAGAGAGAGAGAGGGGCTGTGTCTGGATCAGGGTTAAAGTTTAGTAGTGTCATCGGACGATCGGATGTTAACCAAAAAGACTAAATATGAGCTAATTATAAAACTAATTGCATAAGAAGAGTAGACTAGCTAGCGAGACGAATCTATTAAGTAATTAATTCATAATTAGCAAATGTTTTTTTTTTCCTTTGGGCAGAAGATTCGTCTGCAGTTCAAATCGGCTGGACGGGATTCCGACAGGAACATTGGGATTCACGAGGTGTGTGGTTCATCTGGAATTCTGGATCTGGCAACCCCCTTCGGCCCTTCCCTCTCCTGCTGTCCTGCAAAAGTTTTTGCAACCAGTGTGTGTTGTGTCATTGTGTGCCTGTTGGCTAGCTTTTGCGTGTGGGTACTGACTGGTTTGGCGGATGGCATTGAGTTTTCCATGCTGGGGGCCCTGGGGCTAAAAGGATATGATGGTATCATTGGGCTGATCTGGAGTAGCAATAATAATTTAATCAGGTCAGGCAGCTGGATCCTCGAGGAGTTTTCATTGCTGGAGCCAAATCGTTGCATCATTGAGTGGTTACAGATTGCACTTCCAATTTTCAAAAAAAAAAATCTATCTACTACAGTAAGCGTGCAATAATCCACTTTATCTACTCAAACTATTCTGATTGTTCCAGTCCATCAATGAGCCTGTTCGCTTGTTGGTTTCAGCCCGTGCTTATCAGTCATGGTACAATATTTTTCTTTCACAACAAATCAGCACTAGCCGGGCTTATCAGCCCAGAAACCAACCAGCGAACAGGCTGTATGTCAAATGAGACAATTTTTTTTTGTTTCTATTCTCCAGCCACAAGCTGAAATTCAAGTTCAGATTTTGAGAGGAGACAAATTAGACGACATTGTTTTACTTGTTCGCTTGAACTTATCAACCGATCTTATCAGCCATAGAACGGTGTTTTTTTCTCGTAACAAATCAGCTTTAGCCGGCTCAGAAACCATCAACCGAACAACACGTGACATAGATTTTTTTTATAATTATTTCCATAGTTTTAGACCATAATAATATTAAATTACAGATCCATACTACGGAAATGAAGTTGAGCAATTCTACTATATCTCTGCCCAAAAGGATGCAATTCTGAATTTGGACCGAGACAAGCTTATCGAAGTTTTTAGAAAAATATTACTAACAGTTATAAATTTAAACAAATATACTAAAAATATATTTTACAATTAATTCAAGCATGCTAATTCAATATAAGAAATGTTAACAGCGTTTTATATAGACTTCATTAAACTTAAAACCGTTCAATTTTATTTTAACGGGAGGACGAAGGAGTACGTGCCTCCATCCAAACACGCAACACCAGCATGTTCAGGAGGTCGTATCGTGGATTATTTACTGTTGGTTGGTTTGGTGTGAGAGAAAAACACTATTCTCGATTGGAAATTTACATCGTTTACGAGCAAGCGAACAGGCCTGTGGTGCGTGCAGAGTATGCTACATTTTCCCAAGATTTTTTAGCTACTGGGTACAGTTCATTCACTGTGGCCTGTGGTGGGTAGGGTAGGACCGGTGATACCGTGCTATTGTTTGAGCTGTGACTTGTGAGGTGGGCCGTCACTGGATGACCGGTACGGTTGTACTGTGGTAGGGTTTTCCATGGGATCTCATATTTTATTTATGGCGATCTACCTAATATTTTGAACTTTTGCCTTTGAACTTTTCCCCGGCTACGAAGAATCTATCACGGTCATAGGAATTTAGGATCTTTGGAAGAACTGTTGCAGATTCATATGAGTATTTGCTGTCCCCTCGATCAGGATATATATTCAGAGCAGAAAAGGACCTCATCTGTTTTGCAGTACTCTAATAATGGTTGCAAAATTTTGGCAATGCGAAGTGATAAAGCCCATTTTTTGTCGTGTGTTTTACCAGGGCCTGGTATTACTGGCGGTACAAGCACATCTGCCACAGCTCAAGTCGGCGCCGTGCAACATGCTGACCATGGCCGGCAGCTGCGAGCGGGCCAGCGGGTTCAAGGCCGCCATCTTCTTCGTGGCGCTGTACCTGGTGGCGCTCGGCACCGGCTGCGTGATGCCCAACATGACGACGTACGGCGGCGACCAGTTCGCCGGCGCGGTGGAGAAGGACGCCAGCAAGAGGCTCTCCACCTACTTCAACCTCTCCTACTTCGGCTACTGCGTCGCCGAGGTCGTCGCGCTCACGGCCGTGGTCTGGGCGCAGACGCGCTTCGGGATGGCCATCGGCTTCGGCCTCGCCGCTGCCGCCTTGGGCGCCGGGCTCGTCACCCTCGTCTCCGGCGCGGTGTTGTACCGGAACAAGCCTCCCCGGGGCAGCGTCATCTTTACACCCATTGCAAGGGTGAGAAGAAAAGAACTTGATTCACAAAACCCTCCAATGCAAGTTCATACACATGTTCCACTCATTGCCAAATACGGTTGCCTGACTACAATTATAAAATTCGTCAGGTTTTCGTCGCTGCGTTCAGCAAGAGGAAGCAAATCTGCCCTTCCGGCTCCTCCAATCCTGCCCACACTGCAGCCGGAGATCCGGCGGTCGTCGACGGCGGCGACTTCCGCCACGCCAACAAGTTCAGGTCAACATCTAGCTTGTGCACCATCCACGTTCAGTATTCGGACACCTGACCTGACCAAAGTGAGAGAAAAAAAAAATGAATACTTTGGCAGGTTCTTGGACAAGGCGTGCATCAGGGACGCGGCGGACACGGTGCCGGAGAGCGAGTGGCGGCTCTGCACGGCGGCCGAGGTGCAGCAGACCAAGACACTCCTGGCCGTTCTGCCCATCGTGGCGTGCACCGTCGTCACCAACACCGTGCTCGCGCAGCTGCAGACGTTCTCGGTGCAGCAGGGCAGCGTCATGGACACCAGGCTGGCGCCGGGCTCCTCCTCCTTCCGCATCCCGCCGGCGTCGCTGCAGGCCATCCCCTACGCCATGCTGCTGGCGCTCGTCCCGGCCTACGAGCTCCTCCTCGTGCCGCTCACGCGGAGGCTCACGGGCACGCGGTCGGGGATCACCCCGCTCCAGCGCATCGGCGTCGGCCTCTGCCTCGTCGCGCTGTCCATGGCCTCCGCCGCGGCCGTCGAGCACAGGCGCCGGGACGCCGCCGTGTCGTCCGGAGGAGGACACCAGCTGTCCGTGCTCTGGCTCGTGCCGCAGTTCTTCGTCTTCGGCGTGTCGGAGCTGTTCACCAACGTGGGGCTCATGGAGTTCTTCTACAAGCAGGCGGCGGCCGCCGGGGCGATGCAGATGCAGGCCTTCTTCATGGCCTTCTTCTACTGCTCCTTCTCGTTCGGGTTCTTCCTCAGCTCCGTGCTCGTCTCGCTGGTGAACAGGATCACGGCGAGGGGCGGCCGCCGTGGCTGGCTCGGCGACAATGACCTTAACAAGGACAGGCTCGACCTGTTCTACTGGGTGCTCGCCGCGCTCAGCGTGCTCAACTTCTTTTGCTACCTATTGTGTGCGAGGTGGTACAATTCTGGTGCCGGCGGCTCTGAGTCTGATGAAGCTGCCCCCGGCGAGGTCGCCTCTGAGGAGGAAGACGATGGCAAGGGGCTCATCTGACAACACCGGAACGAGCATGATACTGAAAATCGATGTATATGGTAACACAGATGTGCAATCATTCAACGCACACCCCTTTTTTCTTACAAAAGCATATATACAAGGTCTCCTATCGGGGTTGATTAAAATCCACTGACTTCTGCGAGCACCACAGAATTCAGGGCATCGGTGGCGCATCCGCGTGTCGACACGTCGCGCTACATCTTTTGCAAAAAAAAACTCTCTAGATTTTCACAAACCAACCTGCAGTCCAAATCTCCCGATGTTCATCGGCCTCGCTCCCGCACGGGCTGGGTGGCGCCTGAAATCCTAGCTTCCCTCTTCTCGCCTCCACTCGAGGTGACGGAGGAGCTCATGGATCTGCGGGGACTCCCATCCCCTCACGGTGACGGGGCAACGCACAGATTTGCGAGGACCTCCTCACCCCTCTGCTCATGCTGACGGCATAGATCTACGGGTCGGTGGCATCTCTCTCATCTGTTTCTCGGTCTCCCTTTCCTCTCTCCCTCCTTATCGCCGTCGTCGGCGCCTCCATACCCTCTCCTCGGCGTGCCGCCTCCATGCCTCTCCCCACCTCGCGTCGCCTCCATGCCGGCACGAGCAGAATGTCGCTTTATCAAGACGAGGTGAGCTCCTCCACCACCGGATCTGGTGTAGTGACCTTGATTCACGCCCCGATCTGTGAAGGGAGGAGTGTGGTGCCGTGGAACCCGAGCCCTCGACGACTCCATCTCGCCCCATGGGCTAGGACAGTCCAAGCACATGAAGACCAACAGCTTCGTCGCTCCCACCGGATCTTCTAGCTCCCCGGCCATCATGTTGGAGCGTTCCTGCTTCCATCGGATCTGTGAGTTCCTCATCATTTGGGAGCAGAGATCGGAGAGGAGGTGTCCAGCTAGGGTGGCTCGCAGATATCAGCCATCTAGCAGCTGCCTTGAGCACTCTGACACACGCTGGAGTGGTGGACTCTGTAGGCAACAGTGAGCTGCAACGGGTTCATCCCACTCATCAGGTACTGTGAATTGGTTTGGTTTGGGGATTCGTCAATTCATAGACTCCCTGATTTCTTATCCGTTTCTTAGTTGATTCAGGTAGCAGTGGGAGCAAGTGAATGTAGTTTCTTAGTTGATTCAGGTAGTAGTGGGAGCAAGTGAATGTAGTGAGGAGAGGGGGTTTAGAGAAGTGGGAAGATTTCATGATAATTCCTAAATTAAAATTAAAATTAGTAGATGAGAGTGCTACACTGTTGAAAATGTTACTCGTTGAGAGTGGAATCCACAATAATGCCATATAGTCATTGCTCTCTTGTTTGTCGTATTAATAGCTTTGCCCATGTTAGTTATGACAGTAATTCAGCTATGCAATTCTGCAATCACTTATCATGTATATTATACCCGTTGTTTTGTTGTGCTCTGTCTGACACTGATCATACGCTTGGTCCTGGAGGATTTGTATTTAGATCTGATTTACTTGCAAACAAGTGTATGCGACCAACTTGGATTTTTGTTTAAAAATTTATCAAGTCCTTTGCTGGTTCCGCCCATGTCATGTAACTTGTGAAATAGTTGGTTTTGTATTGTTGTGTATTGTGCTTCTGCAGCACACCAGGAAGGGATGTTTGTTTCATGATATACTTCATTTCTTAAAGAAAGTAATTGTTCTGTATATTCCAGGAGTGCCGACACCAGTTTAAGTATGTATCACTCGATGTGTGAACTTCCATCAAATTCTGGTAAAACACTTCGGAGTTATGCGACCATTTTTTTTGTTCTTTGGCATATTTGCTTTCTAGCATTCACAGGTTTTATCTGCTCGCAATGCTGGTGCAAAAGTTGTCAAGATTTCATAACTACACAACTACTTCTCATATGCATAGATTTCATGACTACACAGATACTTTTCATAGGCATGTTTACTTCAACAGTAAGTTAAAATAACACGACAACAGATGTTCTTTTGTTCGGATTATGTTGAAAAAAGAACAATTTAATCTGTAGTTCTAATCCCCTAATAAGTAGTCAAATGTAGTTTGTGTTTCTATGGCACCTATAACACTATACCTGCAGATTGCAATATGACTATTTACCAGTGTGCTAATGTTAAGATGTAATTCAAATCTGCAAGGCAAAACTTAGTATATTAATCATTTTCTGATTTTATTTTTTTCTTCTTTAGTTGTTTTGTTCACTATTTACTTATTTTCATTTGCTACCAAGACATGTAAGCAGATCATGTAGGCGCAGGATCATGAATATTTATTTACTTGGTAAGCAATGATTTTGAGAAAATATTTAATCACCAAAACTCCAAAAGAGGGGAGAGCAATCACATGACAGATTTATTACTTAGAGTTATGATCTAAATGTTCCAATAGCTCGTAACTTTATTGCCCTGTCATAATCTATGCACTTATGCCATATTTTTTCATTTACAGACCTGTCCATGATACCTAATCACCTAAAGAGGAAGGCCACATCTCTTTTGCCTCTATTGGTTGCACCTAGCTTTTCTATGTGTATTTGCTCAACTGCTGATCGATGTGTGATGTTCAGCATCAAGGGAACTTGCCACTATGATGATTGACTCTGTCTTTTGCAAACCTCATGGCTGTGAACTGTGTAGCTTGCCGTTCCAAGCTACCAGTTGTAACATCCTAAAATTTGCTCCTTTTAAAATAGATGTAAATGGAGTTAATTTTGAATTTTTGTGCTCATGAAAACATAGGAAAATAAAATTTTACATTAAATTAAAATTTATCATAAGGCTTAGCAACATTTTTGTGCATACATGGTGCTGCATATTTATTTGTGATGATTGGGTTTGATCAAAATTTCGAAAGGATTTGAATTTGAATTAAATTTGGATTTGAAAATGTGTTTAAGAAAATAAAAAGAAAGAAATTCTTTTCCTCCTCTCTCTCTGTTCTCAGCCCAGCAAGCCCAGCTCCACCCCGCTTGGCCTGCCCCGCTCCCTCGCATTGGCCCAGCTCCGCCCTCAGCAAGCAGCCCAGCAGCAAAGCCACGTGCCCGCGCATCCCCGCCTCCTCTCCCCTCTCTTTCGCTGACGAACCGGCCCCGCACTCTCCCTCGCCGCCATCCCAGGCCAGCGTGTCAGCTATGCCGCCGTCTCCTACCTCCAGACCGAGCCAGACTCTCCGCCGCCGCCACGCCTCCTCCCTTTACCGTGCTTCCCAAGATGCTCCCGGCCATAAATACCGGGCGCCCCGCACTGTGCCGCCTCCCTATCCCGCCCTAGCGTCAGTCACTGCCTTCAATCGAGCTCGCAGCCGCCGCAAATCCTAGCACCGCCATCCGCCGTCGCCCCATCGAGCACCGCGTCGCCTCCGTCTGCTCCGCGCCTCAGTAAGCTGCCTAGTCGAGTTTGGCATCTTCCTCTCTTTCTCCCCATGCTTTCGGTTTGCTCTCCCGTGGCCTCTAGGGCCGTTTTCGTGATCTCCGGCGAAGTGTTCACCGCGCCGGCTCCCTGTTCCGGCCGGCCACGCCTTCTCTCTCCCTCCCGGTCTTCTAATCTTAGCCATCCAATCTCGATCCAACGGTTGAGATTAACCCGTACCCCTTCGCTGGGTTTATTTGCAAAAGAGCCCCTGCACTTTTCCATATTCGAACCAGCAGTCCACTCCAGATTCAAAATTCCAAATTTTATTTATTTTAATTCGAAATAGAAGATCCATTTATTTATAGTTTTGCCATTAGTTTTATTTAGGCCATAAAATCTCTGTTTTAACTCCATTTTGATCCGTTCAAGTTGCGTTAGATTCGTAATTGAGTAATCTACATGTTCAAGCTAATGTTAAACATGTTTTCAACTTTTGAAATTTGAGGTTAGATTTAATCTATTATTTTATTAAATGAAATCTTGTTTAATTCATAAATTTTTCGTTATAGCTCCGATTAGAGTGCTTTTCGTGTCTGTGTGTTCGTAGCGAGATGTAGATTCGTTTTACAAACTTTTCATCTTGATGTTATGTTTGGTGTACTGTTCTAATTTAGATCTATTATTTGCTTCGTGTATGATTGCATGGATGTTTGTGTGGTGCTTTATGATCATGTCCAGTCGGTGAGCTTTGCGTTGGTGATATAAAAGAAGTTGGTGATCCAGAAGAAGTCCTTTAGAGGTTACAATTCAATAGAAGAAGGATCTGAGTTTAAGGCAAATATAGCATGGGATCTTCCTTATTGTCCTATACACCTTTAATCATTGAACTCATGCTGCATGTGTCTACCTTGATTACCACTAAGGATTTCCTACTACTTTATACCTTGTACCTTGATTCCTATGGGTTTATGCATTGGGTAGTATGATGCTAGTGCTCAAACTAAAGCCATAATCTTGTAACTTGACTAATGGTATATGCAATAAACACTAAATGATGTTTTTTTAGCAACATGGAACAAGGGGCTAGAGGATTGGGCTATTTTTATGGTGCTCTAGATTTCTCTCACTAAGGACTTATCTATAAGCGAACATCCGGGACTTATAGTACAACTGTGAGGACTACATGGCTCTGGCTTTAGCTCAGTATGAGGCCCTTTTCTAGCTTGTTAGAGGTTACCTTTATGACGTAAGAATGGCTTGATGAATCGGGTATAGGACAACCTCTACTCTTATGTGTATAGGTTGCGTGCCATTGTGCCATTCGACAGGGGTTCCTATATCTGTTTGCTGAGTGAATATAAGAGCCCTAACTTGTTAGATGAATCTTTGAAAGGCTTTATAGTGAACCCTGCCGACCTTTCTTGGTAGTGGGTCAAGAGGTTGGCTGCCTCGGGTGAAAGAGTAAATCACTATTCACAGTGAAAGTGTACAACCTCTGTAGAGTGTAAAACTGGTATATCAGCCGTGCTCACGGTCATGAGCGGCCTTAGACCCTTACAGAATAGATGATGAACATTGATGATACTGATGATAAAGATGCTCACTAATGATTACTATTTATGCTATTCATTATTCATGTTTACCTGATCATGTGTTTATATGGG